AAAATCACGCCTTCTGAACAGGATTTTTACCCATGTAATATTGCAAAGGAAGCATCCTTAGGGTAAAAATTGCCATGCAGATAGTAGTTAACAAGTAAAAAGAACAACTTACTTTTTTTAAAGGTGAGTGGCAAAGAATGTCTTACCCTTACTTCTGCAAGTTGTGTATTTTGAAACTAGGCTATTTCAGTTCAGTTGTGGAAAACTAAGTTTTTGATGAACAGCTTTCCTCTTTTTGGTTGTAGACTGAAGGTAAAGCATGATGAAACAAGGGCGAGAAAGACCACTTCTGAGTTGGTTTTGTTTGGTTTTAAGCAATTGCTAGGCTTGCCTGAGTTGTGGTTGGACCTAATCTATGGGTTATGTTGTCTAGCTGGTTCCCAACAGCCCTGCCTTTCTTTTGGGGAACTTGGCAGAGTGCTAGGAGTGAGCCTTAGGTTTTATGAATTGTCCTAGTGATGTCAGCAGTTCACTTCCTCTACTCTTCCCTTGTTGGATACACACAAGTCCTGTGGCGAGGGAGGGAGAGTACACACTCCAGAAAAATGGCGCTTGCAGGGGCTGCTCAGGGTTAGCCAAATGTTTTTCTGGTTGCAACCCATGATGCGTAGCTTGCTTTGTTTTTCATGTAGTACACCGAGCCTCAATTTGGCACCTGTTCCATTGCATAGGTGTGATATTCTGACCTTTCCAGCACCTGTTGTGCATGACTAACCCATGTAATGAGTCCTAGTGTGGAGGAGGGCCATACACCACTATGCTACCTATCACTGCGAACCAAAATGACTTGATCTACCACCAGGTTTCAGTTTCAGGTCTAGATATTATGTACATAATAATGCGTTCAGAACTTTTATGTTCAAGGGTTTGTTTTGTTTTGTTTTGTTTTACATATTTTCACAGAAATACCTGTATGGCCAAATATGACAGTAAAAGCATTGATCATGGATCCAGAAATTGTATTTGTTGCTAACTTGACCAGTGCTGATGCCCCTGCCTTAAAAGTTTCCTTCCAATGTGACTTTTCTTTGGCATCTGGAAAGCTTGCACAAAGGATGACTGCTCAAGTGAAGGGCTTCAAAGTGTTGGCCTGTGCCTTTCTCAAGGAAAAACAAGACAAGAGTGTTACTACGGTAAGAAAACTTGTTTTTCATAATGAAAAAAGTGATGAGAACTGTTGGCAGGTGTGTCCTTTAGTTGGCATATCCATAGCTCTCAGAAAACTCTGTTTTCGTATCATTGATTATTATGAAGAGAGGAAGGGACTGGGCATCTGTGGTATGCCACTTAAAGGTGAATCTTTTATCAGTGCGAGACTTCATCATGCAGAGCTCTGTCTAAAACCTGTGTAGTGCATGTGCAAATTAAATTAAAAGTTTCTTAGTGAAGAAATTGTGTGAGGGGCTTTGAAGACTAAGAATACCTCTCTGCAGCTTTGTTTATTGTCTGTCAGTTTACTTGTTGCAGTAGAGTATGCTGATCAGCGTGTCTGAACTTCATGTACTCATTCTTGGCTGGGAGCATTAAACCACAAAGGTGGCCTGTGTGGTTCATCTTGCACTTGTTATCTTTCCTTATGCATTTAGTTTTCTTTTTTCTTAAGGATTCAGGGGTTTTTTGGCTATGCCATGAAGTCTATCTGTGTGTTGAGTTCTTGTTTTCTCAGTTTTTTAAGCCTTATATCAAAAGCTTTTATTTCACTAACTTTTAACCTTCCAGTACGAAATTGCTCTTGTGCAAATTTGAATGCTGGAATGAAGCACAATAATGTTAGGGAAAGAGTGCAGTTACTCTGAAACGTGTTGTTTCAATCCTATGGGATTGAAAGGTACAAGACTATTTGAAAAGGTTAGATTCAAGGGAGTTACCTTAATAATCAAATTACATTTTTCACTCAGGTGTTACGGCCATGTTCTTTGGTCATGGAAAATATGATGCATGTCTCAGGGTTACAAACTGTGGTAGTGACAATAGAAGAACTTACTATAAAGGTAAGATTATTAAAGCTGTCTTTGGAAGAACAGGTGTGTTTCTCAAGCTGTAGCTTGGGGTTTTTCAGTGAGAATTATGACCACACAAGCGCATGGAAATTTAAGACTTTTAACATGATTTCTAGAATGATATACAATGTGAAATACCTTGTTTTTAATACATAAATTAATAATTGTGTCTATAGTAAAGGGCTAAACTATGAGCAATAGTACATTATTCCTAAAGCATAAAGCTTTTGATGCATGTACTCTGCTGCTAATTGAAATGGTGGTGCACATAACTCTGCAAACGTGCTTTTTTGAACATTTTTTGAATATTTGCTATTTCCATTTATCATATGTTTTGTATGCTAATCAGGTCTAAAACGTTTTGAGCTATAAAGGATTCCCCCCCTCCCCTCTTTGTTCAAGATCTCACCAATAATTCTGAATACTGTGATAACCATTATGGCTGCCATCAAACCCAAATCAACAGAGGAGGATTCTAGAGGAGCAACTGAAGTTTCTGAGAATTTGTGGCAAGTGAGGCCTATAGATGAGTGCAGCGCTTGGTTTCTTGGTGTTGATGTAGCCACAGAAGCAACAGAAACTTTTAAGGACCGTGAACATACTGTGAAACAAGAGAAATTTGACATTGTAGTGAAATCGCTTCAGATCACCTTGGAATGTGGTCTGGGACATCGTACTGTCCCTTCATTGCTAGTAGAGTCTGTGTTTTCAGGTGTCCTTAAAAACTGGTCCTCACTGATGGAGATCACTGCTGATATGTCACTGGAGGTATGTAGAATCAAATTGTTGCAGTTTGAAACGCTTCTGCAGATTTCATAATGTTCAAGTAACTTTTTAGTACATTCTCTATGGGCTAAATTAATAATAAGTTTAGACTGTAATGCTCTTAGGAGTTCTTTAGTGGTCAGGGAAGTATGACTAAGCATAATGTGGGTTTTATAGAAACTTTGCAATCAATAGATTTTAATGGCAGTTGCTACTGTGGAGTAATCTAATCTCTGTTTCTCTATTATTTTTGCATATTCACTTCTTGCTGTATGAACGATGAGCTTGGTTTAGTTGAGTATTCATATTTAACTCTTATTGCCTACCTTTTACTGTTTCTCTAGTGTTGTGTTTATTGGTAAGATAGAAGTAGTTACACTCTTTTCTCAAAATGCTCTTTGCATCTTGGATTGTAATCACGCCATATTTGTTTTGCCAGCTATTGCAAGTCTTTTCCCCAAAATATAGTAAATTACGAGGAGGTATAAGTCTCTTATGGAGGCAGCATGTTAAAATTGCATACAACCAGAAGTGCAATAAGTTAACTACATCTTTAGTTATATTCTGTCAGTTTACCAAGTGTGCATCATACTCCATTCTGTACTGAATATACAAGTAGCCTTCTTTCATTGCTAGATGTGTGCATCATACTAGAGTATGGAAGATGCATATCTAATAATATACAACTGGGGGAAGGCACTGTAGTTCCAGAAGGGAGAAGGGATGAGGAATATAGCCGAAGGGGAGCATCCAGAACTATTTGGTCCACAACCTCTATTCAGATTTGCAGTGGCTGAAGGGCATGTAATAACTTGGTGTAGGCTATGAGTTAGATGAACTGTTCTGGCGGGCCAGATTCAGACCGAAATTTGCTCAGACTAATTGTTATTTCACAGTACAATGAAGTATTTGCGGTGTTTAAGATTTTGATCTCAAAGTCATTCTTTCAAACAGTGTAGAAGAGGATAGAAACTGCCTTGTGTTAAGTGAAGATGTTAAAAAGATACGGAGTTACCAAGCTGTCTGGTTGCTCTAAAAGTCAACTCTTCAAAAATGATGTCACTTAATGAAAAATGTATGAGATATTACACTTCTGTGTATTAATTTTTGAAGCCATTAAAAGTTAATGCTAGATTTCCCAAAATGTGAAATAAAGATTGATTGTTTTCTTATTAATGTTTTTCATCCTAAATGCTACTGGAAGGAACCCAGTGCTTTATTTTTAGATGCCTTATTTAATTTTGATTCTTTCTTTAGATTCATTATTACAATGAAACCTATGCAGTGTGGGAGCCACTTATTGAACGAATTGAAGGAGGAAAGAAGCAATGGAGTTTAAATCTGGAAGTATGTGAACGTACTTGAAACTGTGGAATAGTTTGAATGGACAGCTATTTCTTTAAAAGCTTTACGTGACAGAACGTTGACCTTTTGAATGCTGTTGCTTTGGGGGAAATACGCAATTTCACATGAAAAAAAAAATATCAGTCTTTAGACATCTTAAGGTTTTTCTGAATAGTGTTAGTTGTCCAGTGCACGAGCAAAATGTAGCATGTAACCACACATACAGAGAGGAAAGAAAATAACTTGCTTGCCTTCAATGTTGGTATAAAATTTCTGTGCTTGCATAAGGTGTCCGAGATTTACAAGGTAAAGTAGGTTTTCCTTTGCTTGGTGAAATTATCAAGTGTAGGTCAAGTTTTTTCCTGTTTTAACATAGGAGCAAGTAATCTATGTGTTCATAATTGCCTAATGAAATTTTCATTTTAGATGAAGACTAACCCTGTCCAAGAGAGAAGTTTGATGCCTGGGGATGATTTCATTGTTCTTCCTGAGCCACAAACTGCAGTTAACATCTCTTCGAAGGACACAATGAATATAACAATATCCAAATGCTGTCTTGCTGTTTTCAGTAATTTAGCCAAGGTAGTCCTAGCAGGCAGAAGGTGGTGCATTATGTGGTTCCGTGGGAAATTTGGGGGGGTTTAGGTGGTGTGAGGTTGTTTGTTTTTTTTTCTTTTTTAAAGAACTTTCTGTCCTGCCAGTCACAAGCCAATGACTGTTCTGCAGCCCTGACAAATGTTATCTAGCAGGACTGAGGAGTTTTACTTTGATTAGTCCTTTAGGGTTAACAAAAGGGTGGTGCTAGCTTTTGAAAGAAGATGTTTCTGTGTTAGAACAACAAATGTGTTTATGCAGGACTTAGGGAACAGTCCTACAAGCAGGCTGAATCGAAATAAAACCCTGCAAGAAAAACAACTATTTCCTACAATCGTTTTCCTGAAACGCTAAGAGGGAAATTTACTTCCCTTCCATCTTTTCTCCTTAATAGAATACAAAGAAAAGTGTGCATTTTAGGATTGGCCTTCAAACTGTGGAAGTAGAATGTCCAGTGTGTTAAAAATATCTTTTCCCTATTTTTCTTGTGATAGTAGGTGTGCTTATGAATGTCCTAGGCTTTTTTCCCCCTTTTTTATGGAGAAAAGAAATTTTGGTTACTAAATCTAGCTATTTTTACCGAATGTGACTTATGCCTATTTATTTTTTAATTCTAAACGAGCAACATTCTCTAAGTTAGTACTTGCTTATACTGTAAGTCTATGTTGGCAGTCAGTTACCATGGTTTTTGTTTAATGAAACAAATGTTTGTAAGCTTAAGTTGTGGTTGAATACAAAGTACGTACATCGTGAATGTACTTGGGATTTTTCTCTTAACAACCCAACAACTGTAAAAAAATTCCCTATGAGGAGCATGAATGATTACTGTAGTATCAACATTTGCTGCAAGTTACAGAATAATAACAAAATTTTCTGCAAGTAACCTTTACTTCCTGAAATACTGCTTCCCTGAAATAGTACTGTACAAATCATAGGTATAGCTTTTTTTTTTTCTTTATTTCTTTAAAATGGTAGTTGATGGGAACTGTCTTTTAAAGACTTTATATATAATGTTTTTGTGGCTATTTGTGTATGACTTATGTTGTTAATTACAGGCATTTTCAGAAGGGACTGCATCCACGTTTGACTATTCCTTTAAAGAGACAGCACCTTTCATAGTGAAAAATGCCCTAGGTGTTCCTCTCAAAGTGCTTCCTAGCTCCAACTTTCGGATAGTTGGTTCAGTTGAAAAAGAAAACATGAACAATGTAGAAATTGGTCAGAACATGGAACTGGAATACACTGTTTTTGAAGCGCCCCAACGAGGAAAGTTGTCTGCGTTGTACCGACAAGAAAGCTCTGTCTTCTCTTTAAATTTAGGTATTACACTAGGGAATACTGTGTGTCATGACATATTGAGAGTGGGCAAAATGGGAGAGTCAACATGGTTAAATTCAATGTGATCAAAATTCAAGTGAAGTACATTTTGTTGAAACTAGTTTTGAATACAGATAGCAATTAAAAAAAATAATTAAACAATCTGCTGGACTTCTTAAAAAGATGTAAAATTCCTTCTTTCCAGTTTTCCAGAGAGTGAAAAGTACAATATTCTTTTTTTTTCTCCCTCTTTGGAAAAAATGGAAGACAGTCTAGTGGAGTCACTGATAGACCATCTTACAGACCTCTGGGACATAGTCCTCTGGGTTCCAACTCCTGTTAAACAGGGTCTTCATTTCTCATATCCCTACTACCCTTCAGCTTTCTGTAGTTAACCAGTTACCTGAGAACAGTTATGATTTTTCTGTGTTTTTAGCTTTGCCAGAAGATACTCCCAGGAGAATAGGATATAATAACTACTAATACATAATCTTCTGGGTTTTTTTTCCTTTCCATCCCATCCAACATGAAAGTACTTGGCCATGATACAAAGATCGTGTTCTGTGTTGCATTTTGTGAACTCAGCCAACAACTATATTGGTCTACTGTTTGGTGTATTTATCGTGCTATGTATAAATCATGATCTAAAGTTACGGTCTTCGAGAGTATTCTCACTTTAAAGTTTTCTTTCAGTGGTGCTCAAATACCATTTCAAAGTGCTTTTGCCATAGAGTGCTTTGATCCTGGTTGTTGCTGAGTTTAGAGAAGCTACAGTATTGTTCAAAGAGAAAATAACTATGATGTGATTTGTTTTGCCTAATTAAGACTTTGTATATTTTTATGGATTAGAACTTCAAGGATATAAAGAAGCAGTAACCATTCCTGTAGCCAAAGCAGGTCGACGACTGTACAACATAAGAAACCTTCTTGTTGATCGTTCAGACTCGATCATTGTACAGATAGATGCTACAGAAGGAAATAAGGTTATTACTGTACGATCTCCTCTGCAGGTAAAAAAATCCAACCGAACAAACCAAAAGCCTGAAAGCAGTGCTCCTCTCTGAGTGACTTTTGCTTTTCTTCCTTAATGCATTTTTTTGAGATCATACTTTTCCAAAAAGTTACTTAAAGGCAAATTACTAAGTATTTTACTCTATTTATTACATGAATATTGAGCTGTATTCTGTATGTGTGTGTCTTCCAGATAAACGAAAAATCTGGGTTTTACTTTTGGCTTTCTAATATCCTCAGTGTTGAGGTTGGAATATATACTTTTAATGTGACTTAGCATTTTAAGCATGTTTTTCAATTCATGGAACTTAAGAGTAGCATAGTTTTCTGGTATGCTTGCATATTATTCTCCTTCAGAATTTTGTTTCTTACTAAGATGTATAGAAGTCTGTTTTCCAGAGGAATTTGTTTAAATCTACTAATGTTGTTTTTCCTTGTTGTTATTCGTAAGTTTTCCTTTAGAGATTTGTAGAAATGTAATGCAAAGTATGCATTTTGATCCTAGATTAAGAACCATTTCTCAATCCCGTTTATAATCTATAAACTGGCTAGAGACTCCAAGTCACTGGAGCCAATTGGCATATCCAAGCCAGAAGAGGAATTTCACGTTCCTTTACATTCATACAGGTACACTTTTTCTGTTCTGTATCTTTGTGAGACTGGTGCACAAATAAGCATTAGTGTGGAAGCTTAAATAATGCACTTGAAACTCTTTCTGTCTGGGCTAAAACCCAAAAATGCCACCTTTAGTAGGTAGTTAGTATGCTGCAAAAGCCCTTCAGAATGTTAGTAATTACTTTAAAATGGGTCAAGTCAGCTGTCAATGGAAAGTGATTGTGTACCGTTACTTGTGTTCTTCCTGTAGGTGTCATCTATACGTTCAACCAACAGGAACGTTAGAGGGTCAGTTTAAAGAGTCCACGACGTATATTGCCTGGAGGGAAGAGCTACATAGAAGCAATGAAGTAAAGTGCTTGTTACAGTGCCCAGCCATAGAGACAAATTTCTTGCCTCTAATAATCAGCTCAACAGCTGTACCTGATGAACTGAATTTTATTTCCACCTATGGAGAGGAGTGGGATCCTGCCTACATTATCCACCTTTACCCTACATTGACTGTGAGGAATCTTTTACCATACTCCTTGAGATATTTACTTGAGGTAAGTTATTTTATGGTTTTATTTGTAAACGCTTTACTTGATTTTAAGTAAGACTATATTTCCCTAGAATTGGAGGTGAATGTAATGTGGAAGATACTGAATGTTGTCTTCTGTATTTTCTAGTGAAAATGAGTGAGTCAACAGATGGATTGATTCAGGGAATTTTGGAGACTAACTGTTTCTAATTTTGGTATACCTGGCCAGTTCTCCCTTGCTCCTTAAATTTCATATCCTGTACTGGGCTGGTCTTTCTCTTTTACATTCTTCTGAGATCCTGTTTGTGTTTCACTCAATGTCTTTTGTTTCACAGGGAGAAGCGTAAGAAAAAGCATCTGAAATTTCTGGAGATTTTCTTCTATGTAGAAAGCATAACCCCTTTCCATTCTGACACTGATTCTTTACTGAGGGCTATTGTGAGGTCTCCCTTGCACAAACCGATTGCTTTGTGGGCTGCTGCGCAGACTTTTTTCCCCCTCTTCTTTCAGTATTTTCAGTATCTAGTATTTCTTCATGAAAGCTGACTGATTTTGGTAAATAGAAAAGGTGTGAGGATTTAGAATTTATCGTCCTAGTTTGTTTTGTTTTGTCTTACTCGTATAGCTAGCCTGTGGCATTCATTTAGATCTTTTTTTCACTTCTGTCCAATATCCTAATGGCACTATTTCCAGTTTTCCTTAACTTCACTGTACGTCAGTATGCAGAGTCACAGAACGTAGAACAGAGTGCCATTACCTTGACTGAGTAGCTAGAAACTAGTAATTTGAATCTATTTCTGAAGTCAGTGTACCTGTAGATGGGTATGCGCTTGTTGTCTTCACATCCCTTGACTAATGAAGCCTGGCCACTCTTCAGTACAGTAAAATATACAGTTTCTCAGTGAAATTAGGAAAGTTGCTGTTGTGGGATGCTAGTGCCAGAGGAAAGCTGTGCTCCAAAAAGTATGGCACAGCTGCCAGCTTTCTGCCTTGGGTGTTCTTTAATGTGAAAAGTCCTGGCTGCACATCTGCAGCACAGTCCAATTCAGTGTTGCACCCTGTATTGTAAGAATAAGAACTCATTGCCGAAATTCACTGGGAATAATGGAGGAGGGAAGGAACAGAGACAGGAGATACCTTGGAAGTAGTTTGCCTTTCTGAAATCCAGAATTAAGTAGTCTTTACTGTCCTGCAAGAAACCTGCAATTGATCTTAAATTATGCATAGAGTCGGGCTCAAATGAAAAGTGGTTGGAGATTGGGACGTGTGGTACTGAGACATCTGAAACGTGTGCATCCTGCAAGAGAAGAACAAAATGCTGGTTTTTTGAATACCTAAATTTATATATTAAATACTTAATTTTCCCCTTTTAATTTTGCCACAGGGAACAGCAGAAGCCCGTGAATTGACGGAAGGGAGTGCTGCAGATGTTTTTCATTCAAGAATCAATGGAGAAATAATGGAGCTTGTGTTGATAAAATATCAAGGCAAAGACTGGAATGGGCATCTTAAGATTTGTGATGGAATGCCTGAATTTTTTTCTGTGTGTTTCACATCCCATTCTGTGACAGTGATGACAGTGGATATTTATATACATACTAGGCGAGTTGGAAGCCGTATGATCTTATCTGTGTTCAGTCCTTATTGGATAATCAACAAGACTTCCCGTATTCTCCAGTATCGAGCTGAAGACACTCATGTGAAGCATCCAGCAGACTACAGAGATATTGTTTTGTTCTCCTTTAAAAAGAAAAATATTTTTAGTAAAAATAAGGTATGCTTATTTTAGGCAGTGGTTGTGGTGGTTTAAAATCCTGCTCTGAAGGGGAAAACGCGCACACACTCACACATATATTTTGTCTAAGGATTTTTTTGGTAGTATTTTAACCTATAGGCTTTCATTTGGCTGCAGCTTTCTTCTTGTTAATTATACCTTTTGGACTAAGTAAAAGGGGGAAGGCAGGTAGACAAAAAGTCTTATCGCAACTTTTTCCAGATCTTGCGCTGCATCTCACTGGTTTTCGTCCTGGTCAGAAGCTGGCAGATGGTATAGAGTGGTTAGGTCCTGAAAACTTAATGGGTACCCTCCCAGAAAACTGTTTCCTTGGAGAAAGGAATTTGATGTAGATAAGAAAATTTCAAGTGTGGATTCCCTTTATAGCCAAAAGGAAGGCTCCTCTGAATCTTCCTTTGGAGGTATTTTCCACTGAATAAAGAGGACTCACAGTCCTGTGTTTTACTCAACTAGGTACTTTGACATTTAAAATGCACTATGTAAATATTCTGTCCTATGTTAAACATATCTCTTTTGTTTTGATGTGATATTTGCATGAAGAGTATTGTAGTAGAGGATTTTTTTCTGAAGTGGCCCTTCTTTCCTTTTAAATATCTTTTTTCACCCAACAATACTTGAAAAAATGGTTGAAGAAAAAGTTTTGACAAGGTGTTCTTTTGTTTCCTCCCCCCCTCATCATGTTTGTGAAAGTGCCACAAAATTGTAGCTTTTTTCCCATCTATGTGTGTGCTGTCATGAACCTAAAAGTCAGTGAGGACTCCTCTATTTTGCTGCCTTTTACTGTAACATCTTTCCCAGAACTCAGGCACAGACTAATACGTCAGAATATGAATGATGATACTACAGGCATAAGCTTATTTTAACTTATAGAAGATTTTAAAAGCACTTAGGTTTCATCTTTATGCTGCTACATGTGATATAATAGCACTCCATAATGCATGAACTATGAAGTTAAAATAATTTTATTGAAGTACTTTCCATGTTGTTCTTTTTTGTGTGTAGATCCAGTTATGTATTTCAACTAGCGCTTGGTCCAGTAGCTTTTCCCTTGATACCGTAGGAAGCTATGGATGTGTCAGGTGTTCAGCTAATAACATGGACTACCTGGTAAGGTTTTAGGTAATTCATAAACATGTGGTTTCTATAACAAATGTGTAGTACTAGGCTGTTTGAAAATACAATGGTGAACTCACATCGTGGAGATAAGAGGTCACATTCAAAATGTGTAATTGTTTACAAATGTTTAGATCTTCACTCAACAGCCTTGTCTAAGACTACATTTCCACAACTAAGCAGAATCACGAATATACTTTGTAATAATATGCAGATATGTGGGGAGTTGTGTTTCCGTATACTCTTTAACTGATCTCTGATGATACGGTCATTTTAGGTTGTCTTGATTTGCTGTAGAGGGATTCCTGTTGGATTTTCCCCATAAGTCCTACAGCTACAAAATGCTACGGCTAAAACTGTCTCTTTACCATCGTGTTAATTATGTTGCATAGTTCACTGATTTTACTGCATGCTGTTTGGTTCTTTTATTATAGGTGTTTCGAACAGGAGTGTTGTGTGGTAGCCTTTGTAATTACAGTAATGTTGGCTTTTCTTTTCTTCCATCCTGACTTTGGTCTTAAGCTTGTTGTTGATTGTTTGCTCAAATTGTCTTTGTTCAACAGGTCGGAGTTAGCATCAAAATGAGCAGTTTTAACCTTACCAGGATAGTTACCTTCACTCCATTCTACACAATAGCAAACAAATCTTCTCTGGAACTCGAAGTTGGAGAAATTGGTCCTAATGGCTCTTTTCCAACTAATAAATGGAATTATATCTCGACTTCAGAGGTAATGTTTCAGTGGTTTTTTCCCTTTGGATGTTATCTGTTGTAGACAAGCAACTGGTCTCTAACTGTCACTTAAGGAATAAGCCGTTCTCTTACAGAAGCTCTGTCACTTGTGATGGCATGATGTGGATACTTCACATCTCAGGGCAACTTGAACAGCACAGGTTGCAAATGTTGGTCAATTAATCAAGTCCTTCAGTTTAGATAATTTACTAAATGTAGATGAGATGTTCATCAGTAGTTACTGGCGTAAGAACTAAGGCATTTGAAATAGTTTTAGCCACATTAAGACTGGTTTACTGCTGGCTTACTATATTGAACATATATGAACTGTTAAAGTCATGTGTATTTCTTGTTTTACAGTGTCTTCCATTTTGGCCTGAAAACTCATCTGGTGAACTTTGTGTAAGAGTAGTTGGCTATGAAAACTCATCCAAACCATTCCCGTTTAAAGCCCAGGATAATGGTACTCTGTTGAGACTGGAAGAATTGGTAAGACTGACTTTGTGTGGTCTGTTCTTAATACTCAATTTTAGCCTTATGGTATTAAACTTCGTAAAGCTTGACTCCCCAAGATCATCAAGATTGAGACCTTGTGCCTTAAGGCGTTGGTGCACTGCACTTTGGTTCTGTTGCATAAAAAAGGTTGTGAACCAAGTTTGCAATGTTGCTAATGTTTTCATAGCTGTGTGAAGTGATCAAGTTGATTTAGTTCTGACAAGCTTATGGGAAGCTGAACAGCTCTATGGCTATTAAATTAAAAATGGTATACCACACCTTTAACATTTGTTCCTTTGCAAAGGGTGTTTAAGTGCCTTCAGTTTGTTTAAATAGTTAACCTGAAGCAGGATGTATCTCTTGTTTTCTTGATAAGCTAATACGTGTTGGAGACACACAGTTCATGGCTAAAATAATTTATGATTCAATTAGTAGAATCTTAGTTATTTTGGAGCTCACCCTGGCCTAGCATATGGGAATATGTATATAAATGTAGCATGTTCAGACAAGTCTTTGGAGATAACACTTATCATAATAATACAAGTGACTGTGAGGATAATCTAGCTCTCCAAGTTTGCTGAAGCAGCTTGAAAAAATGTTTTTGGAACAAGATATCATCAATGATCTGGTGTTCTGTTGATGCACTTATTTAGAATAGTGGGTTTTTTCCTTCACTGTTCTAAGATAGTAGATGGCTCAGCTTTCCAAGAGAATCCTTTCTAGTCTTGTATGTAGTGAAGTTTTACTACTCCTGTATAGAGTGCTAAACATAATTTCTCACATCCCTCTGATGGGAGTTGGAGAATCTGTAAGATTATCTTTTTCAAAGGTAGATGTGTCTCCTTCCACCTCTCCTCCAGACCTTACAGCATAGCAAACCCGTCAATTTTTCTTGCTAGACAAGCATTCGAGAAAGCTATCCGAAGAGATTATGCAAAAGGGAAAGCGTAAAGTACCTCCTTTGTATAAGCAAATGAGAAAAATTACACTGTACGTATTTCAGAAATACATTGCAAAGAAGGCAGAATCTTGAAAGCCATGAGAAGAAAGATTTAACGATGATTTGTTTAGAGGTTTAATCAACAGAACTTTTCTGCTTAGCGATCAGTTTGTTAGTATGCTATTGTTGTATTTGTCATACCTTTAAAAACTTTAGTATGTTTATTTAGAGTAGCCTTTCAGATTTTTAAGGAGTATGCAGGAAATTGCAAGTTTTAAATATAACTTTAAGTTTTTTAACAGAAAGTGGAGGGAATGCTTGCCTATACTTTTTACTGAACTTAGCCAAATAAAGTAATTCTTAAAAATGTTATAAATTGAATATAACTTTTTAATTAAGTTAAATCAACAAATAGATTGTGAATGCTACTGATGTCTGTCTTAAGCCAATGACCAATGTGTTTGAGCTTACTGTTACTAGATAACGTAGAGTACATTTCCTTTTTTCATTTGTAAGAGGCCGGTGAAAGACTCACCTAAAAATAACAATTTAGTCTGGTCTAACTTGAATTTATGTGTAGAACAAATATGGAATTTTCTGTTAACTTTCTCTCCAGAATGGGGGCTTACTGGTAGATGTGAATGTTTCTGAGTATTCTACTCTTATAAGCTTCTCGGATTACCACGAGGGAGCTGCTCCAGCTCTTATTGTTAACCATACTTCATGGGACTCTCTCAGATATAAACAGAGGTATGTGAAAGAAATAATTCACCATTGGTGGTTTAACCAGGGAGTATCCTTTGTGAAGAAAGTAGTTCTCTTCTACCATTGTGGTACCTTGAGAAATAGAAAAAAACCTTTCCTTTATCATATTCTTTTAACGAAGTATTTTGTCTGCTTTTAAGCAGTCAAGGTTTGAGAAAGTGGAGAAAATAAAGTGGTAGTATAGATTTCAGTGAGTCAAGAGCCTAGCTACAGCTGGACTTGTTTGTTGTCGATAGCCTAGGCCCTTCGTGCCTCACCCCAGGAGGCTGCAGGGATGGAGTATATAGCACCATGATCTGCTTGCACCACTTCAGTCAGTGATCTTAACCAGTGAATGCTGTAATTTTACTCCTTTTCTTTTAACCTGCAGTGGATTACAAGAGGAAATGGAGTTGAAACCAAAGGAAGTATGCCTGTTTGCATGGACAGATCCAACTAAAACAAGAAAATTGACTTGGGGCTACTCCCAAAATTTTGGTGAACATGATCTACTTAAGGTAAATTTTGGAAGGGGAGAAGTAAATGTTGAGCAGTCTAGGACTATAACAAGAATAAAATTATCTGCTGCTTCAGTAACTTTGCATCTGTCTTGTCCTGTAAGAGACTTTTGAGCCTAATCTCAAGTAGCAAGATTTTAGCTGTTTCGTTGAATATAATTGGAGGACTGGACACAAACTCCAACCTCCATGTCTGTCTTGGGTATGAAAGAAGGAGGATGAAGTGGATGAGCTGTGGATGTATCTAAGTAGTACAGAGGATGAATAATTCACCAATTTTCTAGTAGTGCTGCATTTGGCTGACGTATCTCCCTAAAGGTGGAGAAAACCCCTTGACTGTTGTGACTCTTGCTTCCTATGGGAAATGCTTGCACGGAGCAGAAAATTCTGAGTTGCTGCTCACTAAGAGCTATTTCAGTGTTTGTAACTCATGCAATATTAAAATAGAAAAATGTGTAAAGTGGGGGCAAAACAACAATGATCAAAATGGGACATGAGTGGGGGAAAGAGGGAAACTAACTAGAAGCAGAGGTATATCTAGGATAAGACTGGGCAAGTATTTTGTTAAAGAATGAGGAAGCATGCGCTGATGGAGGAAAGCTTTTCTCACTTAACTGGAATGTATGCTACATGAAGTCCTATGCGTCTGTCTCTAAACAGCAGCCCTCTTGCACCTTTTACTAAATTCCAAATTCTTCAGAGATGGCTTGGTTCTTCTGTTGACTAGGCACAGAGTTAAGAAAACTGAAAATATTAGCAGCTAAAAGTAGGGACAGGAAAGCAAGTTTGTGTTTCAGTTACACTGGGAATAGATTTAGTTTCTCACAGCTAAACTCTGACAGTTAACCAGTTACAGTGTGCTTTACTGTATAAGCACTTTCTTGGGTCAAATTTCTTACATTTAAAAATGTTTTTAGTTTGTAACCAATTTTCTTAGTATAATCGTTATGGTTACAGTCATGATTATGTTGGGCTTTTGAGAAGGGCTTTAACTATCTCAGTTTTGCCTCACGAATTAGCAAATAAGGAATATCTGCATTTGAAGAGCAGAGATCGTAATGATTGTCTGGTTTTACTGTTTTGTGGTGTATGATTTAATGCCTTCTTCCCCCATCACCTACGATTCTAAGTCTTTTCCTTTGCTGTGAAGGCCATTGTTTCCTAATAATTTCCAATATTATTCTCATCCACAAATATTGCTGGAACACCTACTTTTCAAAAGGGGGGGAAAAAAAATCCCAACCCCCAACTTCTTTCCAGTGTTGGGATACAAGGTGCCACCAAATTGACATGATGCAGTAAACTGAACAAGAAAAATTCTGAGTTCTGGTTTGTATGTGTGCCAGTAAACTTGCTTGCTTATAAACATACAGTGACATCATGGATTTACTCCTGTAATATACTTATATACATTTTTTCTTTCCAATACAGGATGAATGTGGCCAATTCCCTTACAATGCAAATACTCAGATACACTGGGTGTCTTTCCTGGATGGACGCCAACGAGTGCTACTTTTCACAGATGATGTTGCATTAGTTTCTAAAGCACGACAAGCAGAGGAGCTGGAGCAACCTGATCAAGAAATCAATTTGTCAATCCATAGTCTTGGACTTTCTCTTGTTAACAATGAAAATAAAAAGGAAATTTCTTATATAGGAATTACTAGGTATTGCACATGGAAGCCTAAATATTCCTTTGAATAATCAAAATTTGACAGCATATTATAATTTTTGCAATACAGTTGAGTTGAAGGGAACATCTTTCAAATGAGATTAATATAGATGAAACTTTTTAAAGTAAAATTAAGTTCTTCCATTATTCCTATTGTGCAATTTGAATAAATAGGATTTAACTGCTTCCTTTCTTACCTTCTATTTAAAAAAAAAAAAAAAGTAAATAGTTTATTTGAGCCTGAAAAATTAGGATAGTATCTTTTTAGGTGGTTTGCATGCATTAGAAAGGTTTAGGTACTTTTAAATTGTGAACCTTGTTATTTGTCTTGCAGTTCTGGTGTTGTTTGGGAACTGAAACCAAGGCAAAAATGGAAACCCTTTAATCAAAAGCAAATAAACCTGTTGGAACAATCCTATCAAAAGTATCTTTGTAAGAGTGCTTTCCAAGATCCAGGTTGGCATAAACTTGACAGCAATACTGAGGTGTGTTTTGAGGTTTCAGTGTTTAAATGATTGCAGAACATGTGCAACAGTTAATACAGACTTCTGTTTTGCTAAATAAGGATAGATGCGTTGTTAAGAGAAACACAAACAAAAAGCAAGCTATTTTGAAATAGCATCACATTTTATACTGTAGAATATCTTTGTATTGAGGTAATATTGAGGCAGTATTGAGGTATTTTCCAGACTTGTATTATGAAGTAAGAATCTCAAGGACTTTTGCTTTTGTGTGGTGGAAAAGATTGCTTGGTATCTGCATGTTAGTTATGAACCTGTATTCTCATTGCTGTAACTTAAATTCTTTGCAGAAATCTTGGTTTTAGCTTCTTAGTAAGCTGCAGTTCCCGTGACTTGATGCAGGTTTTACTTGCTAATCTGTTTACTAGTAACATAACATTGTATTATTTCTGTAATTAAACTGTATGTTAGGTCTGCTTTCTTATATTTCCAGGTGAATTTTAGTAAGGTTCCAATGGAAATGCGTCTCCCAGTCAGGTGCAGCATCCGACGCAACTTCCTATCAGGAATTCAGGTTGAATTCAAACAGTCGCCTCACCAAAGAAGCTTACGGGCTCAATTGTATTGGCTGCAGGTACCATCTTTCATCATGTTCTATAAACTAAATGGACACTTTAAGGCTTTTATATTATTCATTTATATGAAGAAGTATCTCCAAATCTTACATATGTGGTGCTCTGCTCACTATATCAGAGTAGCGGAAGCGCTATGAATGCTGCATTGATAGGAAAGTACTGCAGAACTGCCATACCAGGATTTTGCAAGTAGGATGGGAAAAATTCTGCAAAACTGTGGGTTAATGTAAAGCAGGGTGCTAAGATGGAAAGTTTATTTCTAGAGAGCGGTGTTTTGGTGTTTTAAAACAAACAAACAAAAACCTCAATCTTTTTCAAAATTTGTTTACTGTAGTTTGTATATAGTCATGTAACATATTATTCCAAAGAATGTTATCTAGAGGTTCAGACATCTTTAGTACAAAGACTACCTGTCTAATGGAAGGTAGTAATGGACATTTAAATACTCAGAAATAGTATGCAATAATAAATCTGCACGTAAGCTTAACAGTGAATTGATGTGCAACACTTGCACCTGATTAGCATACTGCAGTCAGTACAAATAGTATTGCTAAATTAACCAGTACAATGCTTGAGTAGGTATTAGAGAGAGGTGTTTAGTATTACAGGAAAATAATGGTGAGAAAACGTCTTCATCTCCACTTGGTGCACTTTGGAGTTCCCCGGCAGTCCGGGGAGGTCACTCACTGAGGACCTTGTTGATGCTTTTTCTGACCAGCTGGCAGGGAAGAGCTCTCTTTCCATTTATCTTTTGCCTTTTGTTTTTATTTTTGCCTGAAGGTAGTTTTCATTATTACAGTCCATGTATGCCATCAGCTGTAGACCCTCTAAATGAATCTTTGTGAACGTGAACCTATGTAAGCATTCCTTGTGCAACATTTCCAACCATCTGACCTTTTATAACTAAATAGGTAACATTCCAAAAGAATATCAGAGTAATTCTTTTCCTCTTTTTTCCTTCTCCAATATAAGAATGACATTCTTCTTGAACACAATCTATAAACGATTTCTCAAACCTTCTAAAATGGAAATGGTCTTTGATTATTGTGTCATTAAAATATCCCTGTAATAATGCAATAATTTTTCAGGTTGATAATCAATTACCAGGATCAATGTTTCCCGTTGTATTTCACCCTGTAGCCCCGCCCAAGTCAATTGCTTTGGATTCAGGTAAGAGAAAGCCTTTAGTAATATCAGATTTAGTCAGCCTTGAAACTAGTAATTTGGCAATTTATTTTTTATGTATATATACTTAGATTATTTTTTTTTTCTGTTTAGAACCAAAACCCTTCATTGACATCAGCATCATCACTAGATTCAATGAATACAGCAAAGTACTGCAATTCAAGTGAGTTTAACAGTGTTGTAATATAATTTTAGAGATGTAATGCATTTTAGAAGTGAACCTTGTTTTAAAGTTCACGTTCTCCTATCCAAACAGCTCTTGACTTTGGATTGAGTTTTTAAACAGCTCTTGACTTTGGAATGAGTTTTTAAACATCTCCAGTGAGAAAACATCATTCTAAAAGAAACTTACTTTTAGAAAGTAAGGACTGACCACATGAAGGGACTGGTATGCAAATTCTTTAGTAATCAGAATTGTTTCCCTCTTGTACTACAGTATCACTTGCATGTCTGCCTGTTTGCTGCACAGTGCCAGGTTTATTTGGTGTTCTAACAGCACATAGCTCATACAGTCTAATGTAGCCCAATACAGTGTGAAATGTATGTTCAAAACATGTGCATGTATATTCAAAATATGTACAAAAACTCAAGACACAGACATATTAAGTAAAAATGAGACATAAATGTTATACTGATGGTTTCTTCTGCAAGTCTGTACCCAACTAGTGTGGATGCAATATTTGAGGATGTTGTATTTTACTAAGATAAATGTTTAGTAATATGACTTTTGGAGAGAGGCGGTTGCATAAGAGAAGGAAATATGGTGTTTAGGTGAGCACATAGAGTCATAATGTTTGAATATATTTGGTATGGTTAATAGTTGGTATTAATATTAGTGTTTGGTGATGGTTAATGTTTTTAGGTAAACTTTGAAAGTGTTAAGATATGAATAATATACGGTAAGGTATAGCTTTGTGAGGCTAGTAAGCCCTTCTAACTATAAATAGGTAGTTGATATTGTACATTGTAAGTCTTAATATGCAACGTTGTATAACAAACCTTCAATTACTTAGTATAAACATGTAATATTTCAGATAAACTTTAGCGAGTATACCCTTTTTGTTTTCCCCATTTTAGATACTTCATGGTTCTTATCCAGGAAATGGCACTGAAAATCGATCAAGGATTTTTAGGAGCACTTAGTGAACTTTTCACTCCATCTACAGACCCAGAAGCTGAAAGACAAAGGGTAATGTACCAGAGAAACTGATTTTTGCCAGAACAGGGCCTTTATGGTAGCAGTGTTGTGATTTTCTGAGTATTTCAGTTTAAATGAGTGAATATTGCATTTGACAACAGTGAATAAAGGGACACGGTAGGATAATTTTTAGTGAACCATTGGGATTTCTGTTAAACATTGGCTGTGAGCATTACTAATTGACAAGTTTGAGTAACTGATACTTGGGTACGTGTAACGGTTCTCTGCTCTTTGAATGTTTCATTAATTGATGACACAGTTTTTTCAACTGTGCCTACAAAGTGTTAAGGTTAGTAGATGAAATAAGGTTAGGGTTTATAGAATGGGCTTCTAATTGTTAGTTAGTCCACAGTGTCTTTTTTCTTTAGAGAGCAGAAGGAACAGATTTTCATGGCTCTAAATTGTCTTATTTGGTTCTAGTGTGCATAGGAGAATTGTTCTTGCAATTTTTTTCCTTAGAAATTATATCGTCAGATGCACTGTATAAAAATTCTAACTTTGTAAGGAAAAACAAAAATGCAAAGAACTTCAGGAAGTTAGTTATTTTACTAATATTTCTAAATTAATTTAGAAGTGATACCTTAAGTGATTGAGGAAATTAAGGGGATATCAAGAGATACAGCATAAATTGGAAAAGTCACTCAAATTGTTGGGTATTTTTTTTTTGTTTGTTTATGGGGTTTCTTTTGCTGGTTATGTTGTTGGTTTTGTTGTTGTTGTTGTTTTTAAAAATCCTGGTTTAAAGAAAGGTATTTGTACAGTTATAATCTGATATACAAAAGTAATTAGTCTATTTCTAGTTTTGGAGGTGTTGGCTATTGAATTAGTTAACTGTTTCATTACATCTGGTTATGATTATTTTTTGCTGTTTGTTTATATGTATGTATATTTTTACATATATTTAGAATATTATTAATTATATTACATATATATA